TTAGATTTTCCATTACAGAACAATTCTGATATAGCTATACAGCGAAGCATGACAATTTTTCGAAAATACCCCACAATGAATGTAATGTGTATGAATTGTAGAGAGTGTACAGAGCTAAAAAAAATTTGATAGCAGAGCATGACAATTATGCGAAAGTACCCCGCAATGCATGTAATGTGTATGAATTTAACCTCTATGTAGAGAGTGTACAGAGCTAATAATTTTTTGACAATCCTTCGAAAACACCGCGTAATCCATGTAATCTGAATGAACTTCTGTGCAAAGGGTCCATTGAGCTAATAGTTTTTAATAGCTGAATATGTATTAATGAGCCGAATCGCAAAAGTAAACCCGAAATCCAAAACGAAACCCGAAATCCAAAACAGCATAATGGCGAATCATTGATAACAGCTTATGAACTTTTCACGTGGGGAACTTGACAATCCTTCCAAAACGCCCTGCAGTCCCTGCTGCCAATTAAAACATTTTGCAAAGTTCACTATTCTATAGAAGGAACTCAGCTTATTTCGAGAATGTTTTACAAATACAGACTAGTTAAACTGTTATAATAGTGCTCAAAATATAACATAAAATTGATTTCAAGGGATTGTTTCGATGATTAGTGTTTTTGCTTGTAATTTCTTAAACCTAATAGTACAAAAACCACAAAAAATTCATTTGATTCATATAACCATGATCTATTCAATTGGGAGTAATTTCATCACGTGATCAGAGCTCCCTGGGGTGCGGAATTGAAGCATGGAATAAGAGCGAGCTACACCAATGCATCAGCCAATAGAAATTTAAGACGGGAAAAATGTTTCTCAAGTCATACATTAAGTAAAATGTGGAAGATATTTTTCACATTAGATGATTTTATTTGTATTGAATCTTGGAACTTGAAATATCGAATCGATGTAATGGTTAAAAATAGATGATTGAATGAACACCAAATTCAAATTTTGATATTGAGATATTTAAGTAGTTAAATAGTGTTAACACCATATTAGGGGATGAAGATAAATATGTACCTAATTAATTAGATGAATAATTAAACACAATGAGTGATTCGACGATGGATAATGATACGAAAGGAGATATGATACAGTCTGAAGATTTAAGATCTAAATATCCAGAATATTGTCAAACTATCACAGTTCAAGGTGAGATTTTACTTTTGATTGTTTTCTGATAGCAAACTTCCTCTCATTGCATACTTCACGAAATTGTCTTTCTCTCTCAAGGAAAATCAGGAGCATGGGAATTAGAGAGCGGCTTATTCCAATTTCTAAAATAAGTATTTGTTCCATCTTAGGCCTGTTCATTTGAATCAAACCCTCCATTCCCTGAAATGTTTTCGAGTGTTTCGAGACAACTGATCTGATCGACTAATGAAAAGTATGACAGAAAACACCATAATAACAAACTCACGACAATATGAGTAAATCTCTAGGATTCTCAGTCAAATATGCCAAGTTAAATCAAGTTCACAGAGCTGCCCCTACCTACTATTATTATTCGTACTCTTGTCGGTAAATCGAATTACATGAATTTATATTTTTTAAAAGATTTTACGAGATAAGTGCGAAAACAGTTTAAATCTTTAGAGATGAATTCAAGAAATCACAAAAAAAATTAGATTGTCATGCGATTACCAGTTCCGCTCTAATTTAACATATTCTGTTTTTTTTCTATTAACCTACTTCGCATGTAAATTGGCAGTCTGATTAGGTTAGAAAAGTTAGGTGCTGGAAATAATGAAAAACATCACAAGCTCGGGACATGTATGTGACCCTCGGAGGTTTTCACTAAAAGTATCTTGCCGTTTGTTTTAGAACATTGCTCAAATGGGCTTGCGTAATCCTCGGAAACGAATGTACGGATTAACGCATAGTTGTGGAGAATTATGTCTGAAGGCATGTACTACAAATAACGAGCCGTCGTGATCCCAAGCACCAATACTGCTAACAACTGGCACACCCTGTTTCTTAATAACCCCTCTTATACAAATATAGTATAGTAGAGTGCTTCTGTCCTCCCTAGTCCGACGATTCCTCCCCATTTCCCCACTTGACAATAATTCCTCCACATGGTATTTCAATTTCCCCCTTGTGAGAATTCTTCCAGTGTTTAGAAGCACTGGGTATATATATAAAGAAAGTAAATAGCATATTTTAGTAATCTTTTTATGTATAATTTACAACTTTAATTATATTTTGTATACTGCTACCATTAGGACCATTTTATGCGGACAAAATAGGGTTAGACAAAAACTAAAACCAAAATCAACATTCAATGGTGTACGTTATCAAAGCAATTGCATTCTACAATTGCAAAAACAATTGTCATGAAATATCAAAAAAATTTCAGCATTAGTTCTTATATTAGTGATGGGAAATCAAAAAAATGTTTGAATAGTCTGATATAATCAATGACCAAGATAAATACCATAATGAAATATGGCGACACATTTGATTATCATGTGAAATTTTATTTCCGAATTCTGCTGTAACGAAAATTCCCTACCTACGATATAATTCGGTTAAACTGGACAATGGTGCGATTGTTTTTTACAAACACCATGTGCACGGCGAAGACAAGACAATTGACTCAAAATAAAACACAGAACATTGATCTATTGTTCATCTATCTGATGCCAATCTAACGCTTCGGGCATTGCAACCTCATCATGTCATCTCCTCATTATCATGTACAGTCACACTTGTGAAAGTAGACGATTTTTGTTCGTTTAACAAGATAAGCAAGTGCTCGATTTTTGTAATATATATCTAAAACATATGAAGTTCTATCAGAATTAGAAGAATTTATTGAAGGAACGACCATATATTTCAAATAATATAATACAATATTTTCCATGATATGGCGTAACGAAATTAAATATAATATTTTTTGGTTTATTTGTGAAAAAGGAAAAAAATTACTTCCTTGTCTAGTTCAAATATGAAAGTACCAGGAAATCCCAACTTTCAATCAACAAAGATAAAAAATTTCCTTAAAAGTCCTGTGCTCAATGTCAAGGTGCTGTGTAGAAGTACAGTGTTGTATTTATCAATTTATTCCAAACAAAACTATACACACAATGTCAATTCAGCATTTTTCATTCATCAAAATGTTTCACTACATAACGTCATTTATATCAAATACAAAACTTCAATTTAAAATATCAATTAGTTAAGAATGCATGTGGCATATTGTAATTTGTGGAATTCACAAAACGAAGTAACGAAGCATGTAATAATGTGAAACGAAATTTTAAGTTTGGAGCAGATCTTGAAGTTTTGTTTGACTGTCATAACATGGAGATCATCTACTCAACTGAATCATTGTGTTTTATTATAGAAGATTGTCACAATTTACTCGACATTTTATTCAACTTATCTTATTAACTGTGACAGCTAAATACTCTGTTTATATCTTACTCTGAAGGACGACGTTTATGAAAATCATTCTTTACCTTCAAACACCAGGTGGCAGAGAAGTGCAATGTTATAATCACCAGGGGGCGCTACTAGATAATGTCATCACCACTAGGGGTCTCTGTAGTACAATGTTCTTGTCGCTAGGAGTCTCACTAAACCATCTTCTCTATAATGAAATTTGTCCTTGGTTGATTATAGCTTTTAGATAGAATATAATTCTTATCGTTTATTATATAAAATTATTTCTTTTTTCGTTAAAATCACATTAGACACGCCTTCAAGTTACCGTGGCATTAGGTGCATTATCCATTTGGATACATGCGGGTCATCTAGCTTGCCTCAAAGAACTGGTTTTACCTTGAATACTAACAGAATGTAATCACACATCGAGCGAGCCAGTGCTGAATTAGTTAAGGATCCCTTGGACAGTTGGAAATCTAAAAAGAGCAAGCGAATGTCACTGTTCTGACAAAAATTCCCTCATCGCAACCTGCATGACGTTGCTCTTCTTAATTACCCCACATAAAAATAGGACGTAAAACTCCATTCATTTCGTTTTCATTTAATTTCCAATTTTTTTTATTCAAATGGGGTTTTATGTTATATTTCGAGTGATTTTTTTACCTGTGGGTTGATAAACTTATTCAAATGATTTGAACAAGCAATCATATTAGATGCTGAAATGAAATGATCCGAAATAATGAAACATCCGAAATTTTTATACGAAATGTTTTTGTAATGTTATATATTTACAATTCAATATATGCTGTCGTTGTCTGAGCTATATTCATTACAATGTAATGTTAAATACCTCATTGTTAAGCAGAAAACTTAATGATGGTTTGGTCCATGAGAATATTTGCTAACGGAGGAAAACTGAAAATCACCTTGAGTAAAAAATGGTGTAGGAAAATTTATTCTTAGACTTAGAATTTTAATAGAATTTCAAATATCTAAAGTAAATGGATTTAATTGCACACGAACTGCTGGCATAATCCTCAATCTACAAGTACACAATTATGTCAATTTCAATCCGGCTGTGTTTGAATTATAAAATATTTAACACGTGAAAACCCTATCTTATTCTCACAGTGACAAGTATTTTACCTCTCAGTAGGGCTGGATGTAATCTGAGCTAAAACATGGAGAAGTCGATTGTCCCACTGTCAACTTGAATTTAACTGACATTTTCAAGTGTATTTTGGGTTCACTGGGCACAGTCTGTTATTATCAAGGTCCACGTCTTCTCATCATTAAGCTTAGCTTACAAATCGCTGTATATGTTTAGGAAACGCACTGCGGTTTTGTAGCTCGTCAATGATAAGAAACGACGTTGTGACGTTTAAGGTCTTAGTAGAATGCCGATAAATTAAATACAGTAGAAAATAGAAGAAATGAAAACACAAGTATTTTGATACGACCTACTGTATCGCAAATCGTGCATCGTAACCCTTACGACTAAATGAGAGGTTATGGAATGCTGAATCCAGCCAGAACTCCGACTTTATTTTCGACTCGACTGGTTCTTAAATTACATATAGTGCTGTTGTATTTTCAGATGCCAATGGTGTGACCAAAGAATTAGTATTTCCCAAAGCACTAGACCTAGACCGACCAAAACGAGCTAGGACATTATTTTCTGGAGATCAGTTGGATATTTTAGAAAGGGAATTTCATCAGAATCAGTATTTAGTTGGTAAGGAGAGAACAGATCTCGCTCGCAGGTTGATGCTTTCAGAAACGCAGGTAAGAACAAGCCATTTTGGTCATGCGTTTCTCGTTTTCGTAACTTTGAGTATTAATATACGTCACAGTTAGGGTGACTCAAATTATCAATAGGAAATGCGCATAGAAGTCAAAACGTTTTACTTCCACATTTTCCATATATAGCTTTTCCGTAACGTGCTGCAAACAGACGGACGGACGGACGACAATACCAGTCTCACAATATGATATAGCATTGCTTTCAGTCCTAAATATAGTTAAATTCCATATCTCCTTACTTCAGGTCAAAGTCTGGTTTCAAAACAGAAGAACCAAATATAAACGAGACCGAGAACGTGCAACGGAAGTGAAAAGTTCAAAAGCTGAAACTATGGCAACACAAAACATTTTAAATATATTACACCCAAACCGCCATATTGGATATCCATCCGCGGCACAGAGTATAGTCCATCCATCTTTAAATCCTTACAATTATCTTCATCATCAAATTTACTGATTTTTACTTCTCAATATAGGTTTGGCGCAGGACTATTAAAACAGGTACATGTGCCTGGCGCAATATAGAGTGTGTTTTGATGTATACTTGGAGATACACAGTTGCTGGAATTTTTGGAAAATGACTCGCACAAAATACTTCAGGACATTTGCTAACATATATTATATTGGTGTGTTTTCTTTTAGAATTGACCAAATATTGTCTGTAGACCCACGATAATCTTTCTAGTTACATCCCTTTGAATACCATATCAACCTCGATTATTTGACAGTAACATCTTTATCTTCACAATATTTAGCCATTACAAACTTCGTACTTAAACCTTGACTGCAATAGCAACCTTTCTTGCATCACGGTATACAGCTATTTGATTGGATTGGACGCCAGCAAGTTTTGCATATCAGAGCCCTCGAAAGAAAGGCTGTATGTTTACAACTTCTTTTACAAACTTCCGTGATACAAGAAAGGTTACTATTGCAGTCAAGGTGTAAGTATGAAATTCGTAATATCTATGACACATTTGAAGATATACCATCTGTAGTTTATAGTAACCGTATTCTACACAGCACCATATTCAAATAGGTGCATTGTGTCATATCTTTATTCAAATAATTATGGAAAACCTTTATGAGCAAACCTCATTTAACAATACGATCAAAGAATGTATTTGCTTAATTTTTTATACAGATTTGTCTTTTGTAGAAAATATAATATTGAAAAAATACATATATTTAATGAAAAAAATATTTTATATTTTATTAATTTTTATCTTCATGGTACGATTGAAACCAAAAAGGGATAACTGACATCTAGCTTTCTTATCCAAACCGCAATCTACAAATTATATCCAAAACCCTACTACACTAATGATCAAGAAAGTCGTGTTTTTTTTTGCTAATTGCTATTATCCGGCAACATATCCAAAGGGGTTCAGATCCACTGGTGATTCGCAGAATGTCTTGGGATTCATCTTGTAATGGACACATGTGATTACTGGATGGTTGTAGTTGATGGCAAGTGCGTTTTTTAGATGTCGGTTCACTCGGGTCGCCTAAGAAGTCGGAATAGACGAGGTCGGAATAGACGAGGTCGTGTGGTGTCCGAACACTACAAGCAACCAATCATGCCCGAACCGTATCTCGTGTATTCGCTTTTTCTATTTCCTTGTAAGATCCCTCATCACACTAGAAACCGCACCTCGTCCGTTCCCTCCCTAAGTCAATGGTTAAGCAAATCAAACTGCCGCTAGTTGCAGCAGAAATTACATTTGCTCTGTCGCAAGGTCGACATGAACCAGTCAGTCAGTCTGTCAGAATGGTATAAGAAGGGTTATAGATGTGTTCAAACTGGGAAATCAAACAACAGTTTTAATGGCAATAGACGTCTTTAGCTAAATGTTTAACAACCTAATTTCGTAACACTCTTTGATGGTCAAATTGGATTGTAACACGAAACGTTATCAGAACTATTCCAATAAACTACAAGTTACCTCCCTTGAGTGATATATAATAACTATATCCGGTTTAGGTTAGTAGAGTGATTTCCCTTGACAGAGATAACATTTAAAATAGTCCAGTGAAACCATATGCTACAATCATCAAATTAAAAAAAACTGTTCTCTAAATTAACCTACAATGTAACTGAGAATCCCTGAAGAGAACATTATGTCTATGTTACTTTCCTTTCAAGCCGCCAGATCTTATGTCAAAATTGCTTATAACTAAGATAAAGGAAACTTAAGTGGAATATATCTAAGATTGGTGAATTCCGGAGTATGCCAGATAATAGAAATGTACTGGGCCATTGTTTATCAATAAAATAGTATGGGTCTATTAGATTTAGTGGACCAAACCTCGGGTTGTCTTTTCCAAGGCTAGAAAATTAATTGTTCCTTTGTCCAACTCATTCACTGCTTCACTGCTTCATCTTATGTTGCAGTATTATAAAACAATAAAATAACAACAAACACTGAATAAGAGACACAATCTTCAAGACCTCAACAGAATTTTCGATATTAGAAAATGCGGAAGAATATTCTTAATAATTGAATTAAAAACATTGATAAATTTCAATTTGAAAAAATATATCAAACATACTTACCTCGAAAATAGAAAATAAAAAAAAAGGACTAAATCACTATTGAGTTGGGTCAGAATTATCATATATTATCTGAATTATTCAAGCCACCAGACCAGACCAGTCTGTTTTCATCAACCTTCAACTTATAATCACTTGAATTTGATACAGACTGGTAAATCAAGACTAATGGTGTCTGGGAGATCGTATATAAAGATATAATTGTTCAATAACATAGTTTTTGTTTTAATACAATAAATTTTGTTACGAAAATAGAAATGATAAACTTAGTTTTAATGCCACAGAAAACACCCACCACTAGAGATGATTTGAATAATAATGGTTCTGGTATCTCTGCATGAATATCAGATCTCTGACCGTTTACCTCCCTTTGAAATGAAATGAAATGAGGATTCCGTCCTGCTTTTCTGCACCATGTGGGCTAATGAAGACGGGCAACGCCATGCAGAGTGCATTGAGGGAAATTTTGCCAGAACAGTTGCCCTAACCTGCAGGAGAAAGGGAATTTATCTAGATTTGGAGTAGACCTCCATCCTGATTTCATCAGGTATATTAACTTTGCTTTCACAGCAGGTTTGGGAACAGCGCTTGAATTTTTCCCATTAATGATACTATAATTGACCATCACTGATTTACATTTCATCCCATGACAACAATGTACTCAGCAATACGTCATTGTAAACAAATAAATCAGACCTTTATTTCGGTGTAAATGGAATCAGGAAGTGAGAAACAAAACATCGTCTACCGATTTCTGCCATGTTTATTCCATATTTAACATCAAAATCCTATGAATTTATCATCAGTTGATCGGCGAGACTATGAGCAATTATTGTGTTTAATGTCAAATTTCATAGTTATTCGTAGAGTGTTAATTGACCGGATAAACGTGAATATAGTCAGACAATGTATTTAAAATGATTACAATTTGAATAGAGAAATTAATTGTAGTCTTAATCAGTTATCATCAGGTCAGACAAAACACGAGTTGTCTCCCAGTCTCCAGACAATACTATATCAATTCAAACAATGTTTTTAATTTCGTTATCGCTGTCTCTTTCTCTTTAATCTCAACTTTTCAGTCTCTGGAGATTTCGTTATTATGATATAGATAGATATGATTTATCTCCCCTTTTAACCCAATTCATCTAATTATCTTCCTTGAATTACCGTTTACCATTAAGATAAAACATTTCACGTAAATTATTACATCATAAACCAGACAACCAATGAGAAGCATGTCTCTAGACAGTCCACCATTTTGAAATTATGGGAATTGCCTTTTACTAAAATTAAATGATTCCTATTGTGAAAGATTGTGAGACTAGTAAATTACTATTTAGTGAAAAGAAGCTTGACACGTGAAATTTATCGGCCATTATTTCATTTTCAAAGCAAAAACCTTCGTCACCTTTTCTAGATATAATAGTTGATTAGTAAAGTAGTAAACGTGGACTTATGGATTTTATAAAAACAAAAAGGAAGATGTGATCATTAATCACATTTTTGATATGTTTAAATTGAGCTGAACTCATTTGGTGGATTTTTTAGGCCGCGGCAGTAAAGCGAGTTGAACGCTTGCTCTCTAACGAAATACTTCGGATTTTCAACCAGATGTCCCGCTGTCAGTGGTGCAGGTCGAAGGGGTTTACAAGAAAATGGCGTCTAATAGTCCGGATGCCACTATTTAGTATTTATGTATATCTTTCAATAGTCTCTGACGCCCAAACTATACCTTTTTATGACGAGGATATAGTCTGGGAGTGTTAAGCATATTCGACCTCCAAGTTTTTAACGAATTGGGTAGATAAGTAAGCATTTCTTTGTTCTTTGTTTCATAGTAATAACAATTTCCGAAAACATTGACACATGAGTGCAATTCAGTTCGCCGCTTTGACTCACTATAATATTTACTAAGGAGTGTCTTTTTCAATATGACAACCTCTTTCGGCAGTAATACAGCTTATATTGTTTATTATAAAGTATTCATTTCTTTATCATAAGGATTTAGATGTAAATTATAGCTACCAATAATCATAGAACAAAGTCGACCACAGAAAATTACAAATCCTAGCCACAGGGATGATGTATTTTTCCTTAGTACCAAAACCTATTATTGTTGATTTCACAGTTAGAAAAACTATAATCAACTATAATCATGTTCTAAATCACTCTCTATTTACCTTCTAGCATGAAGATCATGTTTGTTAAATCACAGTACGTAGTAGAATTTCAAGATACATCACTTGTTGTCCCTATACATAATTTGAAGAAATGTCTTTTTTTACAAACTTTTATTAGGACTTAATACCTCGTGATAGCCGTAATTACAGGGTCAATATTGTAAAACGTTCGTGTAAAAATCTCGACAAAGTTCAAAAAAAAAAAAAAAGATCTGAGTCACCGGTTTCAATCTGAACTGCCGCCCTGTAAAGCAATTTGAAAACTTGGTAAAGACAGAATTATCTGCCCTGTACACATAGGAGGGCCTAAGGGCAAAGACAAGGGCAACAAACTTAGTATTTTGTATGTTCTAACTTGAGGTGCGGGCTCTAACAAATATCCTGGTCAAACTTCCTTTATACAGATTGTGACTGAACTTTTCAGTGGTTCGCATATCTTTCATATCTTTTAAAAAATTGGATGTTCGTCCAATATTTTAAAAGAAGTTTGGCTTTCAAAATATTCCCTTGGACAACTGTAGATCGCTGCAAAAGGCAACACACAGGAAACCATATATCATTGAATCTGTGACAGACAAATTGGATCAGGTGTATGTATCTTTCAAGGACTCTCAACAATATCTACCACCCACTTCATACTTCCATCGTAACGCAGTCTTAGTGGCACTATAATCATTCCCACCTTCCTACACAGTTCAACAATTTTGGTATCTCGAGAGAGTGAAATTATCAAAGTGGTAGACAATGTCATATCTGGAATGTTTTATTTTAACAAATAACTTGAAGAAATTATGAAAAATATGTTGGAGTTTGATTTCATTAGATTAGAATAAGATAACGTTATTGCCTTGAAGAATTTCATCGTCCATCAATGGGGGAATTGTCTGCTATCAAATGGCACCAAATTTTTCGATAAAAACTTTTACCAGTATGTGCAGGGCATTAAGAAAACATCCAGGTGTGTCTTTATTGTCAATAGTAAGGAATGTTTCATAGTTTGATTTGGTAAAAACTTCATCAGTCCTCACAACCCTTCAGTTTTTAACTTATTTTATTCTTAGGAAGCATTTCTTTTATACTAAAGGGAGCTAATTTTCTCATCAAAAGTCCAATTACATTCGCAAAGTTTAGTTATGAGTAATTAGAGACTCCGATTGGACAGCAACATAGCTTCTTATAGTGCAGGCACACGAACGATCTTGGTCGGAGATTTTTAACGCCGACTAGAGCCTTGTCAAATATTTCAACCAAGGAGACAACAGTCTTTTGGTTTTCCACCATGTCGATAATCACGTGCGGAGGATGCAATTGAGAGGAAAATGTATCTGATTGGATAAAACTATCGGAGACAAACATCAAACCTGTTTGATATTATAAATCATGTCGGGAACGCCATAATCTTGTCGTGAAGCACGGGTATATGCGAGATTTTACTCAAGATTCGAGTCGGCGTAAAACATAGCCGACCAAGACCATTCTGGTGCCCGCACCTTTACAATCGCCATCTATCGAGGTACCTTAATTTGTGCACAATGAATATTGGTTTTGTTTACAACATTGACATAGTTCCGGTAAAATAAAAAATAACCATTCATTACCGTGATATGTTTCAGAGCTATAGAAGATCTTTCACGGAGGCCGTTTGATATATTATATCATTTCATCTTCACCGGGTATTCAAGGCACACCTCTAGGTTTGCAGGCATGCGAAATGCAGAATTATCGCTATTGCAGAAAAAAGTCAATCGAGCCTGCTTCGTATCCGAACGCTTCCTGGTGCATTTGAATTCAATTGTATCCAAACCGCACACAGTACTATCTCTCGTACAAAACGGCAGTACCAGCAAGAATTAGAAGCGGTTTCGGTAATTTTCCTAGTTCATTATGGAGTCTCAGTTCTTCCATTAGCCTCGAATCAAGTCAACCCTCTAGTAATTGTATTGTACAGTATATTGCTTCAGAATAATTTAGATGTCAGTATTTCACAGTGACCTGAAACGAAGCTAAACTATTTTCATGATGACATCAAATGAAGCAGAAATAAGGTGATTTGAACATTGATGGCTTTTGAATTACATTTCGTAAAGGGAGACAAGCGTCGTATCTTAATAAGGCAGACCTAGTTTTATAGATATACAGTTTGCAGGAAGACCCATTATAGATGGCTTAAAAAGAGATAACCAAAGAAGATAACAATGTTTGTTTACAAAGATAACCCTTCCTTTTCATGAGAATTTTGTCTACCGGTTGATCCTTGTCCAAACCTCTGGGCATTGGAAAAGAATGTAATATTATTTATCTAAGTTACTAGTTAAAGAGTCCGACTAAAATAAACCGTTTATTGTTTACTAAACTTGATTCATTACTTGAAGCAAATGAAAATTTTTCCCTCTTTTGTCCTAGTTCTTGAATAATAAAACAGTATATTTTACTAAAAAGGTTATTAAGTTATTACAGTACTGGTTATTAGAGAATGGGTGATAATTGAAGTTAAAAATCAAAATAGGTGACACAAAGACCAGCGAATATTACAGTACAAATTTATTTTTGAATTTTGTCATTGTCAAAAGGTTCTTTCTCCATGTGAACAGATCTAAACCATGTCAACTCCGACAGAATCCGAACAGAACAGTCTAATTACATAGACATGATATCAGAGTCTACTTTAATCAAAGGGACATAATTAACCCTGCCTCGGGATATATGTTTTAGAAATAAGCGAAACAAGAATCGGACATATTTAAAGCTTTCAACATAATGGCATCTATTCATAAATTACTGTCTGCGACACTTTTATCATTTAAGGCAAAATTAGTGCGAGGGTGTTTTACTACAAAATCAAAGGTAAGTTTCATGTCATGAAGCAGAAGATGCAGAGACAAACAGATATCTTTGGAGCGTAATAGTTTTTTCGTGGGGGAGGGGGGGGGGGGGGATACGTGCAGTTACGCCATACCCTGTACATAACTCTTTCTGATACGTTAGATGAATTATATAGATATAAGAGCCCCCTCACCACCCCCCCCCCCCCCTCTATTCCCTCGCAGCCCCGAAAGCCAGTTTTTCGGAAAAAATGTCTTAGATAGGCTAGAGATTCGGACAATCACTGATGATCGCCCCTCTCGGACGTAAACCTGGCTCCGTCACTGTAAGAGGTTCGTACAAATTCCAATTTCCTATTTCTATTGCTGACATTTAAAACAAACTGTGATATTTGGACTGATTTAACGATAGTGATACAATATGATTTTAAAATAATGCTGATAAGACAGATTTTAAAACTTTATCAAGATTAGTGCTGTTATTTTAATTATTGATTGTATAAACTGTTGATTTATGATAACAGCTTTTATGTTCTTCGGATAACTGTCAAGGCTCTTGGCCATGGAATTCGAAACTTCTACCCTAGAGTTCTTTAGTAGCGTTACAGTGGCACCCCTACGGGGTTGGGAGGGGCTTGTTAGCCACCCGTTTTTCTCGCATTTTGCCTCGCACCTTTGATGTCTGTCTTGCACTTTTTCTCTCTTTCTCGTGGGCGAGAAGTCGAGAGTGTAATGGCCGAATACCTCGAATATCATGCCCAAGAAAACTTCTACAATAAAAAGTCTGTCGTGGAATAATCATTACTTTAGATATGAAACCTAGATATACCACGTTTTGCAATTTCATTTTAAACTAAACACTCTCAAATTTCCTCTCTTTTCAATAAATTTTGATTATATTTTATCGATTCTTAATAATCAATGATTATTCAATCACCTGATAACAATAAACATATCGATTAGGATGAAAGCGATCAGAATGATCTATCGATTTAGAGGTATTGTTATGGGGGATTATATATCCTGTTTATAAATCATATTAATTATTGAAATAGAGTTTGAGTAATCTCTCGATATTAATCAAAATGAAAATCATATTTCAAAATTCTATAGTTTCACTTACTCACTCTAGAAGTTTTTGATTTATGTATCTATCAAGTTGGACTCCCGAATGAAATTCATTGAATTGCTATACAATGCTACAACCCAATGAAAGCTGCATTAACAAACTTCCACCATAGTTTATCATTTAGTGGATTCTTTAGTGAAATTCTTACATTAATGTCACAAGGAGGAAAATAGAAAAATTCTAATAGGAGTTAATTAATAAACATGATAATAATATGTTTATAAAGGGTAAATTACAATTGATAATTAACATAGTATATCGGTCATTTTATATAAGATTTTAATATTTCTATATTACTCTACAGTTTGATGTATTGAGCACAATTTTAATAGTAATATTTCTATATCACTCTGCAATAATTGATGTATTGACATCAACTGTTTTAACTGTGATATATCTATGTCACTCTAAAATTGATCTATTGAGTATTATTTTAACAGTGGTATTTCTATACTTGATAATTGATATATTGAACACTATTTTAACGGTGGTATTTCTATATTGCTCTATAATTGATGTATTGAGCAATATTTTAACAGTGGTATTTCTATACTGCTCTATAATTGATGTATTGAGCAATATTTTAACAGTGGTATTTCTATACTGCTCTATTATTGATGTATTGAACACTATTTTAACAGTGGTATTTCTATATTGCTCTACAATTGATGTATTGAGAACTATTTTAACAGTGGTATTTCTATATTGCTCTAAAATTGATGAATTGAGTATTATTTTAACAGTGGTATTTCTATATCTCTCTACAATTGATTTATTGAACACTATTTTAACAGTGGTATTTCTACATCACTCTACAATTAACGTATAGAGCATTGCTATTTTAAAAGTGATATTTCTACATCGGTCTACATTATTTTAACAGTGAGAATATTGTTTTTATTGTGTTTTATAGTTTATATAAATACAATATGACACGAGATAAACACCAAAACACAAGTTTACCGAGTGCTTTGTACGAAATATAAAACATCTCACAGAAATAATAAAGTTACCCATGCAATCACATCAGAGAATGTAGAACATATTACCAAAATAAATACCATTGTCTTTCTACAAAGGTTTTATAACAGATGGTATTTTAACATCATTTTGTATGTTGGCTTAACTCAACACAGTGGAATTCTTGTCCAAACAAACTTACAGACTAACGCATGCTATGTAAAACTGGAATGCACAAACAATATACAGCTTATTAAACAATAGTTTCAAGTTTTTCAGGTTTAATATTTTCAATAAGCAATTTGGTGTTCATTACAATCACTGCAGCCTGTATTTGAAAATAACCATTTTTATCAACAAAGCAGTTGTCTCGATTAGTCAAGTCATTCCACGTGATGACTTTCGCCCAACCACTGACGTCATCTGGAAAGAACGTCTGGTATTTGTATTTCCGGACCTTTCTCATTCCACGGTTTTTATTGACTATGTCCAAGGTAAAGTTTGCTGTACAGTGTTTCAGTCTCCCATTACGGTTTTCTTCCATTTTCAAATAAAAATCCAGACAAGTTTGCTTTTTCTCATCCGTCGAGTTATTTCCTCTTGCTATTCGCCGACGGTTTCTCGATGATCGACTTCTACCCTTCGAAATGCCTCCTCTTGACGATTGTAAATTTCTTGGTCTGTATCGAGGATCATCGGATTCCGTTTCCGAACTGCTTTCACGACCGTTTTGCCTGTCTTCCGTCCGCAAGCGAGAACCTCTTAAAGAATGGGGACTAATTTCAGAGTCCTGTTGTGAATCAGAACTGGTTTGACTTTCGACATACTTCAACTGCATATTACGTCGGTCTACATTTGTCGGATATTGGTTTTCAAAATCAGAAATTGAGTCTCGATCATCACGAGAGTTATCAGCTGATTCGGAACTGCTGTTCGGATTCTCATCTCTTGTCGTATTCGATCTGCTGTTGAAATGATAGTCATTTCTTGGATTTGTTCTCTCTGGATTTCTGCTGTGGTGGTTTTGATTATCAGAGTCGGTAGATTCATCCACAAAGTGTACTCGTCGTTTTGATCGAATCCTTGAAACCTTTCTTGGTGGTTCTACAGGGCTTTCTTTTCTTGGTTTGGTCAATGGCAGCCCCAAAAGCTCGTCATTATTCCGAATAACATCTTCTAAAGCCCCGGTGTTATTTTTGTTCACACTCTTTCGAACACACAGGTACCACGAGATGCCTTTGATTACTTGGTAATCACGACTACAAACCAGTTGTCCAGTCTGTAGCTCATGGATATTAAATTCACATACAAATCGAGAACCACACAACATTTTGTCAAATCAATTCAGCACCACAGTCTCCAACTGTTGATAATTATCATATACACCAGTAATGCTTTCTATATCAAGTAATCGAGAGAAGGGATATTCCTAGAAACTTTAAGCATAACTTCTATTCACAAATCCCCATATCTAAAAGTGCGTTATTGGGCACTTGTTGCCGTCTCAAATGTTACCCAACTTTCCAAATCAAAGTTTCACACACCCCTTTTGAATAATGTGTTTCATTGATCACTACGATGTTATCATTATTATGATGTTATCTTATCTAGACTCAGGCTAATCAAACAGGTCAAAGGTTATATATTATGGTACATATTGGCGTTTATTTTCAAATTTACATGTGTTGTCTTTCATCGGATTAAGATAATGGAAATAGAGCAAACAATTATATCTTTATTTTCGCCATCTCTTTGACACCATGACTGTTTAGGTCTAGACACCTGATACCACTTTTCTTTATGAAATACTTACTCACTTATGATTGATATACTTCATCATGTGAAAAGTTCATTAGTTTTTACCAATGTTTCGCCAAAATAAGACTATACAAACCTTACCACCCTAGTCATTCAACCCAGTAGTAGCTATTGTAGATCTGGGAGTATTTATAGTAGGTCTGGTAGTAGCTGTAGTAGGTCTGGTAGTTGCTATAGTAGGTCTGGTAGTAGCTATAGTAGGTATGGTAGTAGCTATAGTTGACCTTGTAGTAGCTATAGTAGGGCTGGCAGTATATATAGTAGGTCTGGTAGTAGCTGTAGTAGGTCTGGTAGTGGCTATAGTAGGTTTGGTAGTGACTATAGTCGGTTTGGTAGTGACTATAGTAGGTCTGGTAGTAGCTATAGTAGATCTGGTAGTAGCTATAGTTGACCTTATAGTAGCTATAGTAGGGCTGGCAGTATATATAGTAGGTCTGGTAGTAGCTGTAGTAGGTCTGGTAGTAGCTATAGTAGGTTTGGTAGTGACTATAGTAGGTTTGGTAGTGACTATAGTAGGTCTGGTAGTAGCTGTAGTAGGTATGGTAGTAGCTATAGTAGGTTTGGTAGTAGCTATAGTAGGTCTGATGGTAGCTATAGTAGATCTGGTAGAAGCTAGAGTAGATCTGGTAGTAACAATAGTAGGTCTGGTAGTAGCTATAGTAGGTCTGTTGGTAGCTATAGTAGGTCTGGTAGTAGCTAAAATAGGTCTGGTAGTAGCTAAAGTAGGTCTGGTAGTTGCTATAGTGGACCTGGTAGTAGCTATAGTAGGTCTGGTATTTGGTATAGTAGATCTGGTAGTAGCTATAGTAGGTCTGGTAGGAGTTATAGTAGGTCTGGTAGTAGCTATAGTAGGTCTGGTAGGAGTTATAGTAGGTCTGGTAGTAGCCATAGTAGGTCTGGTAGTAGCTTTAGTAGGCCTGGTAGTAGCTATAGTAGGTCTGGTAGTATCTAAAGTAGACCTGGTAGTACCTATAGTAAGCCTGGTAGTGCCTAAAGTAGACCTTGTAGTACCTAAAGTAGACCTGGTAGTAGCTATAGTAGGCCTGGTAGTAGCTATAGTAGGTCTGGTAGTAGCTATAGTAGGCCTGGTAGTAGCTATAGTAGACCTGGTAGTAGCGATAGTAGGTCTGGTAATAGCTATGGTAGGTCTGGCAATAGCGATAGTAGGCCTGGTAGTAGCTATATTAGGTCTAGTAGTAGCTAAAGTAGACCTGGTAGTAGCGATAGTAGACCTGGTAGTAGCTACAGTAGACCTGGTAGTAGCGATAGTAGACCTGGTAGTAGCTATAGTGGACCTGGTAGTAGCTATAGTGGACCTGGTAGTAGCTATAGTAGGTCTGGTAGTACTTATAGTAGGCTGGTACTAGCTTAAGAAGCTTGTACGTTTTGTAGTGGGTATACATTTTATTTTATTATCAGAAAAAGTGTTACCCTTTGTTAGGTGCTTAGATCAATATAATTGTTAGCTTTTGTTAGCTGTTGGGATTATTATCAGCCTTTTATGTTAGCCTTTTATGCTGGCCTTTTTATGTTGTCTTGTAGTAGCTGAGGGCGGAAATGCACTTTTTTTTATCGTAATAAGCAGTAATAGCCACTAACAACTTCTTGATAGAATCTCTGTAACTCTATAAATCAAGGTGTGCACATTTGTACTTCCGGCAGGTAAATTATATCATAAAATTCTTTCTGAAACATCTGCAAGTTTTATCATGATTTTGTCAATTATAATTAATCTATGATATAAAACCACTAGAAATCTAGACACTACACTAGGAAGTACATTTTATGAACCGGAAGTAGAACCCATTCGATACTGTTGGTTCATTTTAAACAACGTTTGGTGTGTATTAAATCTATTTCCGGTGTATGTTTATTGTTACATTGTTTGTCCTTGAAATACAGATCAATTATCCCCACGATAAGAATCCTTAGATAGTTGGAATCGGAAGATAGTCGCTATTTCCAAGCACCATCGTGAATATTACTTATCGTTGTTCTTTGTACGAGGTTTACTTTATAAAATAAGATACTGTAAAAGTTTAAGACTTGCAAACTGAATGTGAAAGAATTTCAGAACAAATTTATCATGGCAAATTGTGAGTTAAAAATGCTGATTTGACCTCGACCTGAATAATCTGACGCAACAAAAATTAAACATGAAATGTGAAGTATCTATGATATTAAAATTCAAAAATCAGAATACAGAAAGTCTGTAATTATTTAATAAATTTGAAGTACCTTTTGATAATACTAAGAAATTTTTTAATATTTTAACATTCCAAATGCTCTTTCAAATGAAATTAAAATATTTTAGAACAGGTCCATATTCTATTTGATTTGCCATCTTCAAATTCACTCTTAGAAATATTCCCAATATTACCAATCTTTCATATGGTAAATATAATTATTATCAAATTATCGCTCCTGATTGAATACTCTACCAATTGATCACTGCTTATTATTAGCATTGATACAATTTCTATTTCTATTACTGAGTTATCGGTCTTTGATTACTAGTTATTGCCCTTTATATTGAGTTACTGTTCTTGATATTGAGTTATCTCCCTGTATATTAAATTGTAAATTATATCAATAATGAAGTAGGAAGAGATAATATTCTATCAAACTCTCAATTCACGATCAGATAATTCTATAGTTGAATAGCAAACCTTAATTTCATCAAGTCGCTCTATCTACTAGTTTTATTTCATTCTATATCATTATGCTTCGTTATCGATTCCATATCTCCAATTAGTCTTTTTGTATTTAAAGCTGTAGCCTTCAATTCACTGAAAAAATTACATTAAAAACGTTTACATCTGAGAGGCAATTCTTACACCGGGGTTAATTCGCTATTGAATCAACACATTCTTAGTTTAGAGAAAAGATGGTGCTATGAAGTACCTTTAGAAAGGGAACATGTAACAGCATGTTCATTTGCTACATTCCCGAAAATCAGATTACCTTATAATATCATCGCCACCACAATGTAAAGGTTTCAGAAGAGAAAGGCCCTTTTACCAGATGTCCACATTGTTATAGTATTTTGCTTGCAACAATATGCGCAACATGCAATATCTACATGTACTGTTTGATCAAGAGATATAATAGTAATCCCTTCAGAAAAAATGAAAATTAAGTTTAAATGTTAGTGTAAGTAAATTCTTCGACTGAATATTTTGATCGTCAGTTTTGATTTTGTTTTCTGAAACTAGGGCCAGCAATGAAACCTTCAAATCAATATCACCTGCTGGTATTCAGCTCTTGGATTATTGTTTCGGTCGGACATTTCTAGTCGTTCGGTTGGAGCAATGCAGTGAGGCCCCGCCTGCTACAGGATGTGCACGTAAGGTTGTAGGCCTATTCCAGTGTCCTGGAAAAATTTTTCTCGTTGCACACTGCATGGTGTTGCCCGTCTTTATTCGCCCATAAGGTGAAGAGAACCTAGACGTAAAACTCCATTTATTTCATTTGAATTATTGTATTGATCACTTTACCTAAGGGATCACAGTATTTATGATATGGTTTCAATCTCGATTGAGTTGAATTTTCTTCCGTTAATATACATTACAATTCCCACAGGTTCATATCAGCGTTAATCAACATAACCTCTAAAATATCTCAACCTTCTACCTTGGGACATGGTTAATTAAATTTCAACAGAGGAACTTAGATACAATAAGTTCAATAATTAGACTAAAACAGATCCCCGTGTCTATTGGGACTGATTAACAGTAAGTATTCTAACTATCATTCTATATTGGTTTCTATTTTTCTTTTTTTATTTCAGAATCATTCTCAATTACCGTTTGATTCTCGAATTTTCACAGGAAGTGACGAACGGATGATATTTTTGAGCTCAGCAGAAGACATGGACCCAAATATATATATTGAGATAAAGCATTTCAGTTTCTTTTGAAACCACCTTTTACACTTCAGGTACAAATTCAATTTTAATATCGCAATAACATCTCAAAGGAATACTGATATCTCTATATAGGTCTGACTGTTATAATTATTGTCGAGGGGACGCAAGCAAAGAATCTCCATCTGGTGTTCCACAATATTGCATCATCATATCGCTTTAAAAGAAAAGCAATTGAGTTATAATTTCTATTCAACTGCCTTAAGAGGCGAGCTGGACGCGATGTACAGTGGCTGAGCCAAAAGAGGGGGGGTGGGGCCCCCCCCCCCCCCCCATCCTCATTCTTAATGTCGTGTGTCACTGGCAAAGATGAGAGAACAAACTATACATGGGTGGGTCGTTCATTGATAACTGATTTATCATCACTTCTGAAATCATGATGTGATAGATTCTACACGCCATGTTCCCAGTATCCCTGGTAGTTCAATGTCAAATATATACTTCGTATGTGATATGCTGTAGGCTTCCGCTCGGTCTGGTGGCAGTCCAAGCCAGACTCCACCCATAGATTACTTGACTTGATTATCAAATAGATCAGTCTTAGAACCCGGTTGGCTTTTTCGCATAAAGATTCTAGAAAAGAAAAGGCCCTGATGACAAACGGCGTTTCTTCGGGCTCTCTCAAATTTCTTTCCTATTGAGATCTTCATTGAAAGGCGATGAGCTTCCTTGAAAAATCTGTTTTCCCCACTGCCCCGCAACAACCTCCGTCCCTCACACGTTCAGTTTCGTAGAAAGTCCTGTATAAGGTTCGTGCAATTGTTGTTCCATTGGTAGGTTTCTAGTTAGGTCTTTGACACCTTACATACTTTTTCCGTCAGTTTAAACTGAAGGTATTAAACTGATTTGAAGTAACGGAAGTAAATTAAACCTCTAATGACTTGAACAGTGGAGTTTTTCTAATTACAGTGTCAGTGCTAATCTCCTTATTGTCGCTTCGTTTCAGACGCCAGTGAATGACTGACACCATAATAATACGGGAGCCAAATACGAGAAAACTTCATTATTGAACCTTGATTGAGAAGCAATCGGAAATTTCCGACTCAAGGCGACGGCAACAGGAAAATAATTGAAACATCATTACCGCTTGGATTTCATTTCATGTATTTTAGAGACATGGAGCGTGTAGGCGTCATTTTTTATCAGCCTCAAATTAATTCAACTTGAATGTTTTATTTTTATATTAAGTTCAAAGTACAATAATCAAATGTTTTGATATGTATAATTTACAGTATTCAACAGATATTAGCGTATAGATCTATCTGAATGACTTGCAGTGTTGATTTAAACCAAATGACATGGCTAAAGTCAGTATAACAATTACTCAAATAAATACAGTTTAATTATGTACTACTCAATTAGGTCGATTATAACAAATTAATTTATCATACACACAGTAATGATGTTGACAATGCTGACGATTAATTGTTATTAATTTATTATCCAGATAGCAACAATACAATATCTCACATCTCTTGTTTGCCAAATTGAATTTGAATTGTTGATTTAACGGAATGTAAAGGCAAAATATTCTATTCCTAGTGTAGAAATGGCCAGCGTATTTGTCCTTTAAAGCGATGTTTGTTGCGTAACCGCAGAAGAGCGATTAGAATAAACTAGGTACTGTGTCTGGTTGTTGTGTTGTAGAAGAGACTCATTCACGAGATAATGATGACACGGTGTGCTAGCTCTACTTCATGGGGTTTTCAACCATTTTCTAATTACCTCTTACAGGATCGATTGCATTACCCCCCTTGCCCCTATAAATCCTTACTGTGGGGTGGTTTTCTCTTTTCATGCTGGAGAATATCACCTGACTGAATCGAACGAGTAAACTTTTAATTGTCCTAAAAAATCTTTTGCTGGACTATAAAGCGCATATTTTACTGTATCTATATGATCCAACTTCTTACGCTGCATCGGACACTGTACCTAGTCTATTCCTACTATTAACCTTGTGTCTCTAGCACCGGGAATTTCGTTTTGGCGTATCTGCGCCACTCGTTGTATTGTGATACCATATTATAGTTCACGGTGCCATATTTATAATAGAAAGCATTTGTCTTTGATCCCCAGAGATGGATTTGAAATGCCGAGGAAATACCATTATTTTTACTTTTTGACCTTTTGATTTAGATCATTAAATTGATTGTTTTGGCTGTTGAAAGGATAATAAAGCTCTTTGCTTCGGTGTCTTAATCATGTCTGTGATATATATTTACCAAAATATTTCTACGAATAAATTTATTCTTTAGTATAAATTAATGTTATTTGTCTCTAAGAAGTGTAACATAATGAACTATATTTCAATCCAATCCAATCCTTGTATCTCTTCTACCCATACTGCCCCTCCCCACCCATCGACATGCCGTCTTTCTCAGAGTAGTAGATTATCTATAGTACAGTATTAGTATTAGCATTAGTAATTCTTTATAATCACAACTTGTCAATGAATCTGGTAATTTCTCTTCAGGCCCTAATATTCTTCTCTCCTTCACATCTACTTACAGACATCTAGACCTAATTGATCATTCCGCTTACAGCGCATTTACAACAGACAATTAGCAGTAAATTGGACGTAAAGTAGTTCTTTAATTCATTTTACGGAAAGTAATCTAAGATTCGACTTCAGTGTAAATTGGCAGACAGCGTTCTAGAAATACTCAAATGAAATTTGACAAATTTATAGATTTTAAATCAAAAATTTAGACCACGAAAATTCTGGTGCTAATATTTAGACACAATATTGTAACTGTTCGAAAATAGACAAATTTAAAAAAATAAATATAGACTTCCTTCTGGGCGGGGTATTTAGGATTGTTAAAGCTGCAGTTGTAAAGAATCAAAGTCCTCCTTGTAGAACTGAAGAGGTTTCAGGTTGACTTTGTAAGATGCAGAATAGCCTTTTTGATTAGTTTCAACTACCTCCATGAAGGATCATTTTCGCTGATGATCCCTTGAATCAGCCCACTTATAACTGAGTAATAACGAATAAACATTAACATTTTAGGTGTATTTTCCACGGGTACGTAACTTTTATATGAGCCAATGCCCATCCCGCAACAACACTTGACACCCAGTAGCTACGGAAGGTAAAGGTAGTTATAGTTTAATTTGCAAGAAGAATTGACACGAAACGTATTTTTTTCAAAAGTTACAGGCTGTATAACATTGCCTGAAGCGACATCTCAAAGCGTTAAAGTACAATTTTGCTTGTTCGAGACTAATCAAGGGAGTTAATTATAGAAAAGCACTTCCGGTAAAGGTCACGACAAGGTAATCAATGATTAGTCTGTTAAAATTATTGTCATGTCGTCGGCTACTTGATGATAATTTTATGAAATTATAAAAGATAAATGGAATTGCCTGAAGGCTAACAGCCCGTTAGTGGTAAATAGATCGAATCTAAAACAAACATCGAAAAGACGAGACCACAACACGAGAAAAGTCGAACCACCTTCCTGCACTTATGTACCAGCTCGTGAGACAAAGTGCATTAATTCAAGTCGTATGTAAACCATCGTGTCCAAACCTAACTTTCTCTAGTAAGTGGTATCACAAATGATAGAATTTACGAATTCATAGCTAAATCTTGTCCAATCAAATATAGCCCTGAAATCTTTCAAGGAAATCTCAGCCAACCAAATAAAATCACTTGTTATAGACGCTTGTTCGCGAACCAAATCAATAGGAAAGCAATGTGTGATTAATTGTTTTGATTAATATGGGCGATACAAAACTTCGTAAGATTTTTGGTAAAGAATTGAAGCTGACAGAAAAACCAAACCGTATCCTTCCGTGTTTTGTTTACATGACCTTATTCTCCCTCGATCACCAGTCTCATTTCCACGTCCACAAAACGAAGACCATGTCAAAACTCGTATTCGGGATACGATGTATGTAATCCTACATCAACGACAGACGGAAAGTACGCGTATCTCGACCCCCTTTTTACGTTGATCAAAAATGGTTTCTATGCAGCTATACACTTTATAGCATACTAGTAAGGTGCAACAAAATCGTCAAAAGTTTTGGTAGGCATCAAAATGACTGTTTTCTTTCAAACATAAGAACACATGTTTACACACACTGGCGTAAGACTCAGTGGTAATTATCAAATCATGATATTGAAATAAAATTAAAATAAAAATTGTCTAATTACCACCGAGTCTTACGCCAGTGTGTGTAAACAAGTGTTCTTGCAATGCCTACCAAAACTTTTACTAGTATGCCAGCAAAAAAAAGAGTATAGCTGCATAGAAATCTCTTGTCAGCGAATATTAGGCGTCTACTCGTTTCAAATACAACGACAGTTGGTAATCGGACAATAGTCATTTAACGTCTTTGTCCTGACAAACTTTTCC